GTAAGCCTAAATAAACCTTTTCCTCTATAAACTGCCTTGGTCGCAGGGTTTTGTCACAGCAATAGAAAAGTAACTGATGCAGTGGACAACTGAGGGAGACAGATAACAAAGACCCACAATAGACAGGTCTTTGAAAATCTTCTAAAGTCACTATTAGTGTTAGTGGTCAGTTCTTCAAATTCTTACGGTAATCAGTCCTGATGTTCACGTTCCTGTAAATAAGAAAAGACACTAGGGAAAATTTCACTCACTAACTGACAGCTATTGGACTCTCCCATTGCCCTGCCTGTCTTAAACAAAAGGACTACTAATCAAAGGACAGTTGGATGACCCATCCTAATACAGTATCTGTCACCTTAGACATAGTACAGATGCCCTGAGAAACTACACAACCATCAGCTGGTTGCCCAGGCTTCTGAAGATGCAGCTGTAGACAATGGTGTTTGAAAAAGTGTATCAGACTTGCAAAACTGTGACTGGTGCAAACACAAACCTCTATGGCTATAAATAGTGCTGAAGAGGCAAGGCTGTGATTGGTCCAGACACTCCTACTTGGGCGAGAAAAGCATACTGCTCAGGCTCACGTAGCAGATTGGCTGGTAAAACTGTCCTGTGCTTTCAACTCTGGTGTTGTAGCATTAGAGTCAACAAAGGTTCCTGCCAAGTGGTCTTTTCTTACTCTCAGTGTTTGGGCTGAACCGTGACACAAGAAAGGAGCAGCAAAGACAGCAGATGGGTGACAACAGCAGAGGCTTCCGAGCAGCAGCTCTGAGCTTTCCGCAGGCTGAGCTGCAGAAGTGTCAAGCAGTGAGCTGAAGACAAGCGAGCATCTCAAGAGCCACCAGGAAAAGATGGGGAGGGGTGATGGGGCAGGGAGAGAGCGAGAGAGAAGACCGCAGAGACTGAAGAAAGCGAAAGGCTGTAAGGACCCAGAGGATAAAGCGTGGGCTCTGGTCCCGGGAGAGAGTTCAGGGAGCTGTTAAGTTTGTAGGGCCAAGGATCTCAAACCCCATGCCAAGTGCTGTAAGTGGCCAGAGTTAACAAACCGTGGACGCCGAGGGCCTGCGCGGGGACTATAACACCAGGCGCACTACTTGTTGTCCCCACAACTGCCAACACTGGATGCTGCCAAACGGCACAACGAGCAAAAGCTGCAGGAGACCAACACAGGAAAGCTTCTCTTGGCCTAGTGACAGTTTCTACCTGGGTAGAGAACCTTGACAACTGGTAACATAAGCACAGTCCTCACTCCCTAACTCCATGCTAGGACCTTCTGCCCAAGTCCTTGGGGGCTAAGGGTAAACTCAGCAGGTTGTCATGAAGAAGCCTAGCTACGCGTTTTTCCTTAAGCTGGGCTGCCACTTGTTTCCCCTCAGGCCATACTCTCCAGTTAGAATGTGGTCTTCACTCATCTGAGATGAAGTCTCCAGCGCATGCTAGGACTATCATAAGCCCTCTGGAAGCATCAGGGAAGAAGAGATTCTCGGTCCAGTTGACAGAACGAGGGCCATGGACATTTCACAGAGCTGTACTGTATGCTACAAGGTATGCATCAGCACATCTGGAAGGAGGGGTTGGAAGTGCCCAGGGGCTGAAGTAGAATGTAATTGCAAGTAAGGTCAATCACTTCAGGGTTCCCTGGAGCAGAGACTCAAGCTGAGGAGGGTCTTTGCAGACAGAGGACAAGGTGAGAGCCAGCGGTGAAAGCAAGGAAGAAGCAGGGGCTGTGAGGCCGCCATGAGGACTCTGAGTGTTTGAGGAAAGTGGGGAGTCATTGGGGGGTTTTGAAAAAGAAGGAATGTGACCTGGTTTGTGTAAACATGAAACAATTCTTAAAGCCACTGGGCAGAGAACAATCAACGCAGGGACACACGTGATAAGGCAACTGTTAAAATCCATGTGATCAGTGATGGTGCAGATCAGCAAGGGGGCAAGGAATACGGTGCCAAGCTAAGAAAGAAAACCCTGTGTCCTGTGGACCACAGCCCTAGCCTCCATCTCCTGCTCTATGATTTTCCCGATGCAGATTTCTTTGGATTCATAGTTCACAGCTCATTAGACACAACAACTATTTACTATGTGTGCTTGTAATTAAAAATATAGCTCTCCCCTGAAAAACGTAATAACAACTCAAGTAGGCTTCTCATAACTGCTTATGTGGCCCTTTGGCTCACGTCTCAGCAAATGCTTAGTGCATGTTTTTTGAATGGATAAACAATACATCTTGTGTTGGGTGAATAATTACCATATTCCCTTTACACTATAAAAGAATTAGGTCAAAATATTTGTCACAATGAAGTAATTCACTTTGGCTGGCACACTTTAGGAATTATTCTTACCTTGTCTTGACAACCATAATAGTCCTTCATTGTTTCACCTGGATCATCAATTTACTTTAAAAATAAGAGGCAACATGAGATGAGTTAGGGCCCTGTCTGTGACCGGCTGGCTGTTTGTTTCCAACCCTGGGCTTCCGTCTCCTCGTCCACTAAGAATTGACGGAGTGGCTCTCACTAACATCCAATCTCTCTCCCATCTTGAAAACTCCAGAATTTATATTCCCTGAAACACACACCTCTCAAAGGTTTAGGATTTTGGATTCATGTGTCCAAAGGGATCTGAAGCAGCAATACCTTGAATAATATATTTCATTTTACCCCTTTCTCTTAAGACAAAGTCTTGACCAGGAACCCTGTCTGGCTTCAAAATCACAAGCTCTTCCCTTCACCTCCCAAGTGATGGGGTTTCAGATGTACAACACCATGACCAGCTGGATATGATTATTTACATTATGAGGACAGTAAACAGCTTTACTCCAGTTCAGATCAGGTTTTGTTGCCAAACTAGTCATAAAAGCAATCTTTCAGTTCTAACCTGTTTGGTTTTCAAAACTGCAAATTAAAGATTTTGTGTGGATTCAGTTGCAGATTTATATAAAGGTGTTGAACACCCAGTCAGTAAAAAAATCTGTTCACTTTGGGTGGTGAGGGTGCCTTTAATCCCAGCACTCGGGAGGTAGAGGCAGGAGGATCTCTGTAAGTTCAAGGTCAGCCTGGTTCCAGGACAGCCAGGGCTACACAAAGAAATCCTGTCTCGAAAAATGGAAAAAAAATCATTGGAATTATTGGTGTAACTAAAGGACTAGAGTTCCTTTGACTGTGGAGGTATATCTTATTTTACTAACGGGTGGGGAGGGCAGAGCCCTAAGAATCGGCCCTGTCTTTGATGTTTCTAATTTATGAGAGTGTGACCCATCTGGCAAGCTGGTCCATACTCAGGTCAAAGCAGAGTTACTGCTATTACTAGAAACCAAATGCTCAAAGCTGACTGCATGAATTTAAGAGCATCGATTAGCAGTTTATCTCTGTAACAGTTATATCATTTCCCTAAAGTAGTTTTTTATCTTAGTTTAAGACTCTTTCTTCATGTCTGACAACTGAGTTATTAGAGGAGGCGAGTATATGAAATTTTTGCATTAAAATTTAGAAATTGCTGGAGTCACTCCAAGAGCAAGAACGCCCCAATGCTGTTTTGCCTAAATCTGCTCCCCTTCTGTTTTGAGGCAAGGAATAGGCAGAGCAGAGAGCTGGATTTCTATGGGGGACAGATGTGAGGACTGGCTGTGCTTCTGCCTCCCTCTGTCTGCTCCACTCCTTCCCCGCCTCCTTTCCACCCTGGCTCACCCCACACTCTGTGTTAGCGAGGGTTTACAGTGCTGTGAAGAGACACCATGACCATGGCAACTCTTATAAAGGACAACGTCTAATTGTGGTAGCTTACATTCAAAGGTTTAGTCCATTACTGTCATGGCGGGGAGCAAGGCATCATGAAGGCAGATGTGGTGCTGGAGAAGGAGCTGAGAGTTCTTACATCTGGACCAGCAGGCAACAGGAAGTGGTCTTGAGACACTGGGTGTGGCTTGAGCATATTAAGGCCTGCCTCCACAGGGACACACTTCCTCCAGCTAAGCCACACCTCTAATGGTGCCACTCCCTTTGGGGGCCACTTCTTTAACCCTCCACACTTGGCAGGTGCTCACGGGGTAGAGGCTGAAGGGTTTTGCTTTTGTTATGTGGCTTTTGGAAAACTAACTTGCTTCTATATATCTGATTTTTTTTATTAAGTTGCTCCAAACCACCTTCTATTGTAGAGAATCTAAGGACCTTGGCCCCGTCCAAATGATGGACTGAAATGGAAAACAAGTCCTACAACCTCCCTTGCGGTCTGGTATTAGAAGTCTCCAGAAGGGCTGTGTCACACTCTTATGGCGAATGGCAAAAGAAGGAAGGTAGCCATCATGAAAGAAGAGTCACAACATGTGGCTCACTTCTCAGGTGCTAACTTTAAAAGTAAAGATTGATGGAAAATAACACTGCTTAAGGAAGACCGCATGGACACATAGTCCCTGTTTTCTTCTCTCTGTTTTCTGATATCTACCCAGCCAGTAAAATGCTACATGTGGCCACTCATGTGTTTTCAGAGGCTGGACATCTTTACATCTGGGGAAACACTCAGCATCTTCACTGCAGGACTCTCTGCCTTTGCTACATGACCACTGAATCTTTGTGCCAAGCCAAAGAAAAGATATCTACTCATTTTCAACACTGGGGCTTGTATGCATATATTTATGCAAACCCTTAAAGTCTTCATAGAATAAGGTAAATACAAACAAGTATAATATACAGTTCACATTATGCTTAATTCTTTTTAAAATTTTACTTATGTGGGTGATATGCCTGCTTGAATATATCTTCATGGTGTGTAAACCTATTACACACAGAAGCCAGAAGAGAGTGTGAGATCCCTAGAACTGGAGTTACAGACAGTTGCTAGTCTCCATGTGGGTGGTGTGAACTGTACCCAGGTTTTCTGCAAGAGCAGTAAATGTTCTTAAGAGCTGAGCCACCCCTCCAACCCTTACATTTAATTCTCTTAAAAAAAACACAAAACTTGACATTGTATGTAACACTCAGAGTATGTGGTATTAACTCATATATTACCTTTATATCCTTGTTCCGTCTCCCTGAGATCAATTTTGGTTATTGGTTTGAAATCAGTGTCCCATAATCGTATACAGCCATCTCGCCCACCAGTAGCAAAGCCCTCTTCACAAGCATACATGCTAAAGATTCCAGCCTGTCGATTAGAAGAGGCAACACTCAGTCCTGCAATTGCTATAAATGCCACCATTGCTGAATCTTGATTATAAACAACAGAGCAAAACAAAATAAAAGCAGATGCTGTGTTTTCTGTTGAAACCTGACAGATCAACACACTTCACCTCAGCTAGATCACTGTAATTATAGCCACCCCAGGAGGCAAAGTAATTCCATTAACACATCTAATTTGATAAGATTATTACCCTGCTGCCAAAATGTTATTTATGAATACCTTGGCTAAAGCAGACACAGAATCAAATTCTTGTATGTGACAACCAAGCCTTCTAAAACAAAGACATTACAAAGCTGTCTCACTTAAGTTCTAAATGGATCCAAAGACTAGGGGCATGAGTGTCACACCTTTTACAAGTGTAGTGGTGTCTGAAATGCCATCTCAACTGCTCAGGGAGGTGCTGTGACAGACAGAAAAGCTGGAACTGCATTGTGTCAGCATGTAAGTACTATGGGATGACTTGCTTTTCCTGTCTAAAATACTTTGATTCTTTAAGTTTGGAAACTATTTTTACTTGATTTATTCAAAACTGTTATTATTACATCATATTGATAAATCTAGCGTAAAGAGAAGTTGATTACTGAGGCAGCTCATTTAATGAATGAATGCAAATTCTGACCTCTTCATTGCTTTAAGAGTTGTTTGGCAATGAACCAAGAAAAATGGTTTTCACCTTAGAAGAGAGGGAAGACTCTAAGTATCCAAACTATTTTGCTGAGTTCTCTAAAGTTTTCTTCATAAGAGTAATGAGGTCTCGGCATGCAGATTAATGATAGAAGATGTGCTTAGTGTGTAAGGCTCTGGGCTCAATCCACAGTACTAAAAAAAAGTGAAATAATGGGGAATCAATTTGGAGGCACTGAGATAAAGTATTCTTTATCTTTATTTTTGTTTTTCGAGACAGGGTTTCTCTGTATTGTTTTGGAGGCTGCCCTGGAACTCGCTCTGTAGACCAGGCTGGCCTCTAAGTCACAGAGATCTGCCTGCCTCTGCCTCCCGAGTGCTGGGATTAAAGGCTTGCACCACTAATGCCCGGCTAGCATTCTTTATCTTATGTCTATTGTTCCAGGTGGGTGCCGGGAACTGCACCCAGGTCTGTGAGAGCAGTAAGAGCTCTTAACCACTGAGCCATCTCTCTAGTCCTTATATTTAATTATCTTAAACAAAAATACAAAACTTGGCATTATATGCAATACTTGCAGAGTATATGGTAAATATTGCTATTAGCCTTTCCCTCTGACATCTATTTTATATTTCCATTGTATCATCTGTAGACATCATTTTCCTTTGTGTCAAAATATAGCAAAGAGCTAAGAAGCAACGTCTGCCATGTATTCACAGAATGGAGAGAAAGGTGACAGGCGGCATCTGTTTCTCTGAGGACTACAATGCTGACAGAGTTGATGCTCCTATACTCCAACAGATCGAGGACACTCTCCCTCACCCTCTGCTACAAAAACAGCAGCTGTTCACAGCCAATCTATTCCAGCTACTGGCCACAAAGTGGAGGAAGAGGTGAGAATCAGTCTGGACCCAGTGAAGAAGGCTGTGAGGTTAACAAGATCCCAGGACACTTGCAGGCAGGCTGTAATTTAGGAAGTGATGACATGTTCTGGTCTTGTATCAACTACTACTGAAGAGCAGTGCTAATCAGCCAATTAATAGTTATGAAGAAGCCTGATTTCATATGTTTTTCTTTCAGGTAACAAAAGTAACTTGAGAAATCTTTATGAGTGTTTACAACTGTTTGGTGAAGTCTTCTAACTGTAAAGCAAAAGGCAGAAACAGGAAGTGTGACCTTAACTTATTCAATACGTCATCCCAAAGCCCCACATGGTAATACTCACACTATGTGCTCCTTGAACAGTTCGGATTAAGGTGAGCCCTTTCCAGACATAAATGTCCCCGTTTAAAGCACCAGAGTATGTAACGTCTTCTTTGGCACATGCAAGGCAAAGGATAGTCTGCAGATCTCCTGTTTTGCCAAATATCCCTCTTTTTGCAGTCAGGGCATTTCCACATAGTGTCCAAAACTAGGAAGTAATAAAAATATAACCCAAAATAGAGTACAATATCCCATCACCTGCATTTTTCAGTAATTTCACAGAATACACTTTATCTAAACTAAGCATAAACAAATTGTTTCTCAGTGACAATGGACAACCGCAAAACATGTCTGCATACCTCTAGAAGCATGAGAAAAACCCACAATGATATCTTTAAACTTTAAAAGCTCAAAAATTTCAAAACTTTAATGTTTAGTGACATTATGGAAGATGACTCCAGTGTCCACAGAATGAGGTTAGGGGAGTCACATTTTTGTTTAATCCTTTGTCAAATGAGTATAGAGTCGTTGTAGAACTATAGGTAAGTATAAGAAGAAAGTCAAGCATGGCAGCACACGCCTGTAAACCCAGCACTCGGGAGGCAGAGGAAAAAGGACCATTGCATGCTGGAGGCTAGACCAGTTTACATAGAAACTTCTAGGCTAGCCAGAGTTACATAACAAGACTCTGCCTAAAAATGTAATGTGTATGTGCATACATTGATGCATTACATAAAGAAAACTTGAAATTAGGAATACCATGTTAGTGTAACATATTATCTAGCCATTTTTTGTTTGTTTTTTGAGAGGGTTTCTCTGTGTAGCCTTGGCTGTCTTGGAGGCTGTCACTCTGTAGACCAGGCTGGCCTCAAAGTCACAGAAATCTGCCTGTCTCTGCCTCCTGATTAAAGGCATGTACTACCACTTCCCAGCATTCATCTTGTCGTTTTAATATATGTATGTATATTTTAAAATTGCTTTGTAGGCTGCTTGGTGGAGTTGGTTAGAACATGGTGGCAGTAAAATAATTGTTTTCTAACCAGTGTTACAATTTTTTTTACTATACAGTTGTTCACTAAATACACGTGATATTTCCATAAAGTCAAATAATCCCCCAGGCCTCTCCATTTTATTTGCACAGATCATAACGCTTGAACAACTTGTCGGTAATAGCAGGGATATGCCCACAGCCACACAGAAATCTAGTATTTTTCCTTGACGCAGTTTCTAATGTATGAACCGGTATAACTTTGGTGCCTCTACACAGCCCTGACAGTCTCCAAGTGCTTCCCCCAGTTGTTGTTTAATCTCATAACACACTTGAGCATAGGTGAGGACAGACTCTGTTACTGTTTCCAGATGGAAGTGAGCGAAGGCAAGCAGAAGTACTTTGCTACAGACATGGATTCTGTCAAGTTTACACACCAGAAACCACTAAAACCTGGATCACTGTTTTGAGAACCCCTCACTGAGAAAGAAGAGGGCATGTGAAACAACAGGCAAGGATTTTGTGACAGCATATTCAGATTATACTCAATACATTCAAGAGGCAGGTCCAGTATGAAGCTACAGGAACCAAATTGCATTACATGGAATGAACAAGAATAGGATTTGGATTCATGGCAGGCAAGAAATTGCATCTCACCCAGGAGAGCAAGATTACATGACTCTAAGAGCCGGAACCTATGAGGGAAAAACTTAGTGTCTACCTTAATATTTTGTGCCTGCAGGAAAGGAAAAATGGTGGTCCTGTCAGAGCATACATAGTAACTAGGTACTGACGGATGTAGTTCTGGGTTGACTGAACCAACATGATGGTGGTGGGAAGGGATGTGGGCAGATAGACCATGGCAAAGATGAGAGCATGTGTTCAGCTATTTGAAATGCTCTTAGCTGAGCCAAGTGTGGTGTTTCTTTGGACAGTATTTTTGTAAAAAGGTATTGAAATAAGTACAAAAGGAATGAAGAAATTTGGGGAGAAAAAGCTAATTAGATACAAGATTTGGTCACACTGTTGGACACAAATGGACAAGGGATGAAGAAACATTCCTTTGAACTTACATCTATGGTGACACTCAGGCAGACATTCCCCTCCTTGTGGTTTCTCATGTGTGAAGATTGGCTGGAAAGTAGCTATTTTGTCTTTTTACTTGAGACATGCACCTCTGGCCTGAGTTAAATATTTCTACACGGCAATTACCAAAAAAATAGATAATTATCCTGAGACTGTGTGAATAAATGATTTTCTGACTGAAATCACCCAATCAGAAGGTTCTAACACCTACATAAAACATTTCAAGTCATCAAACGAGTCTCTTAAAAGGCATATATAAATGCCAACAAAAATGAGAGATTTCTGTGGGAAAAAAGGAGAATAAGTTTTCTTTTCTTGAGAACCATTTCATGTAGCAAACAGCAGTATTTTGGACTAACCATGCCCCATTAAATGACAAGACACCATTTATCTTCTCAGTTTCCATTGGCAGATTGTAATACAAACCTGGTTAGAACAAGACAGTACTTTGGAGGTTACCTGACCCTGGAGAGTCTCCCAGGTCCTTTTCTTTTATGATGAGAGACTGCAGAAGGCGGAACATTACCCACAGATTTGTAGGCTTATTGGCTGTAAACCAGTGGAGCAGACACTGCTTAACTATTGTTGTTTACAAGCACTCTTCTCCTCCTTATCCCTATTCCCAACCACTCCCCTCACCATCTCCCTTTCACTCCTCTTCCTTTCTCTTCAACCAAATATGGCATATCAAATTTCAGTAAAACTAGGCACCTGCTCTCCTATTAAGGCTAAGCAAGGCAACCCAGTAGGAGTAAAGAGTCCCAAAAGCAGGCAACAGAGACAGAGACAGCCCCTGCTCTCACTGTTAGGAGTGCCACAAGAAGACCAAGCTACAAAACTGTAACATATATGCAGAGGGCCTAGGTTAGTCCCATCCAAGCTCCCTGGCTGGTGGTTCAGTCTCTGTGAGCCTCTGTGAGGCCATGTTAGTTGATTCTGTGAGTTTTCCTGAGGTGTCCTTGGCCCCTCTGGTTCCCATAATCCTTCCTCCCTGTCTGCCTAATGTTTGACTGTAGGTCTTTGTATCTGTTTTAATCAGTTGCTGGGTAAAATCTCTCTGATGTCAACTGACCAAGAACTCAAGAAATGACATCAACCAATTAAAAATGGGGTACAAATCCAAACAGAGAATTCTCACTATAGGAATCTCAAATGACCAAGAAGCACTTAAAGAAATGTTCAGCATCCTTAGCCACCAGGGAAATACAAATCAAAACAACTCTCAGATACCATCTTACACCTGTCAGAATGGCTAAAACAAAAAAACACTAATGAAAGCTTACACTGGAGAAGATGTGGAGCAAGGGGAACACTCCTCCATTGCTGGTGGGAATGCAAACTTGTACAGCCACTTTGGAAATCAGTATGGTAGTCTCTAAGGACCCAGCAATTCCACTCTTGAGCATATACCCAAAACATGCACATTCATACCACAAGGATATCTGTTCAACTATGTTCATAGCAGCATTATTTGTAGTACCCAGAACCTGGAAGCAACCTAGATGCCCCTCAGCCAAAGAATGGATAAAGAAAAGTTGGTACATTTATGCAATGGAGTACTACTCAGTGGTAAAAAAAAATGACATCTTAAAATCTTCTAGATGGAACTAGAAGAAACCATGCTGAGTGAGGTAACCCAGACACAGAAAGACAAACATGGTATATACTCATAAGTGGATATTAGACATAGATCAAAGAATAACCAGCCTACATCCACAATCCCAGAGAAGCTAGGAAACAAGGAGAATCCTAAGACAGACATACATGGACCCTCTCCTCCCCCCCAGAAGGGCAATGGAACAATATTTCCTGAGAAAATTGGAAGCATGGAGGGGGAGGTAGGAAAGAGAGGAGGGGAGAAAGGGAGGGAGAAGAGAACATGAGGGATAAGGAACATCAAGTTGGGGGGAAGGATAGAGAGGGAGATCAAGGAAAGAGATACCTTGATAGAGGGAGCCGCTATGGGGTTAGCAAGAAACCTGGCACTAGGGAAATTCCCATGAATCCACAAAGATGACCCCAGCTAAGACTCTGAGCAATAGTGGAGAGGGTACCTTAAATGCCCTTCCCCTATAAGGAGACTGATGACTCCCTTAAATGTCATCATAGAGCCTTCATCCAGTAACTGATGGAGGCAGGTGCAGAGATCCACAGGTAAACACTGGGCCAAACTTCTGGAATCCAGTTGTAGAGAAGGAGGAGTGATGAGCAAAGGGGTCAAGACATGTTGGGGAAACCCACAGAAACAGCTGACTTGAGCAAGTGAGAGCTCACAGACTCCAGACTGACAGCTGGGGAACCTGCATAAAACTTAACTAGGCCCCCTGAATGGGGGTGTCAGTTGAGGGACTTGGGCAACCTATAGGGCCTCTGGCAGTGTAATCAGTATTTATTCCTAGTGCATGAACTGGCTATTTGGAGTCCCTTCTCTATGGAGAGACGCTTTCTCAGCCTAGACCTAGGCCCTCCCCCAAGTGATATGACAGACTTCGATGATCCCCCATGAGAGGCCTCATCCTCTCTGACAAGTGAATGGGGGGTGGAATGGGGAGATGATGGGAGGAGTGGGAAGATAGGAGGGAGAGGGAACAGGGATTGGTATGTAAAATAAGATTGTTTTTAATTTAAATAAAAAATTTAAAAGCACACACACAAGTGACAGCTCATACTAGAGAGGATATAGAGCAAGGGGAACACTTCTCCATTGCTGGTGGGAGTGCAAACTTGTATTGCCACTTTGGAAACCAATATGGGGGTTTCTCAGAAAATTGGGAATCAGTCTACCTCAAGACCCAGTTATTGCATTCCTGGAGATACACCTAAGGATACTCTACCACACCACAAGGACACTTGCTCAACTTTGTTCATAGCAGCTTCATTTGTAATAGTCAGAACCCAGAAACAACCTAAGTGTCCCTCAACTGAAGAACGGATAAACAAAATGTGATATGTTTATACAATGGAGTACTAATCAGTGTTAAAACAATGGTATCATGAAACTTGACAGCTAATAGATACGACTAGAAAAAATCATCCTGAGTGAGGTACCCCAGACCAGAAAAGCAAACATGGTATGTACTCAATTATAGGTGGTTATTAGCCATAAGTAAAGGATAACCATGCTACAATCCACAGACCAAATGAAGCTAAGTAACAAGGAAGACTCAAGGGGGACACACATAAATCTCAATATGAAGGGGAACAGAATAGACATCACAGAGGGATAGGTGAGAGGTCTGTATTGGAACAGGAGGGATAAGGTAGGGGAAAGATGGAGGAAGAAGGTTCTGGGAAAGACAACTGGAGTTAGGGGCATCTCTGGGATGAGCTAGAAGCCTAGTGCAATGGAAACTCCCAGGAATCTCTGACCCTAGCTAAGACTCCTAGCAATGGGAGATATGGAGCCTGAACCAACCATCTTCTGTAACCTGGCCAGACTTCCAGTCTTGGGACTGGAACACCAGCCCAGCCACATAAACTTTGACCTATAATTCGTTCTACCTACAAGATGTGCTGGGACAAAGGTAGTGCAGAAATTGTGGGAGTGGCCAATCAATGACTGGTCCAGGCTAAGACCCATGCCATGGGAAGGAGCCCACCCCTGACACTGCCTGGAGGGCCAGGACCCAGATGCTGGATAGCCCAGAGACCTAGGATAGAACCAAAGATGACTGGCAAAAAAGAAAAAGAAAAAAAAAGTCAATGAAATGATTCCTGATGATATTTTGCTATATTCATAGATTGCTGCCTGCTCTTAACTTTGAAATGGACCTCTTCTTCATTAATGTGGGGTTTAGGCAGATTCAAAAGTAAAAATAACGTAGTAAAACCAATTTTGGCTGAAGAGATGACTGTTACGTTTGTGTGGAGGACATGAGTTTAGTTCCTAGTGTACACACACATCCGGCAGGTCACAACCACCTGAAACTCCAGTTCCAGAGATCCAGCATCTCTGTAGGTATCTGTACTGACATACAAAGACACATAAATACACATAATGGAGAATAAGGAGAAATCTTTTTAAAAACGTATCATAGATTCATCCCTAAGCAGAATTAAGAAGGGATGGGGATGGCTGTGGATATGTACCGGTTATTCCACTTAGGTACAGATGTAGGGAAAATGCCTAAACCTACTAAACAAGTTTAACAGGGTAAGGAGTAACCTCGTTTTTCCTAACACTGCTCTAGGATTTTATCTGTGTATTTGTGGAGCTGATTAAAAGTTTAAACAAGCACAGAAGGAAACATAGGGGACTCTGGAGAACATGCCATTAAGCAGCTCTTCCAGTTAGAATCCAGGAAATGTGGGTTTTCGAGAAAAGTTAAGCTAGATCTTGAAAGAGGTGGCTCCTCAAGAGGAGGTCTACACAGGGAGCTGGAGGTTGTGTTAGAATCTTATGTCTGCCAGCATTTCAGCCATTTTAGGAAACGTCATTGTGGCCTTACTGGTTCCATACACCCACCATTCAGTGTAACTTGATGAATTTTGGAAGAATGAGCCTACGTCATTGGGGACATGAAGAAGAAAGTTAGCCTGGAGAAGTATGCACTCACACACTAGAACATGTACATAGCAACACTTGTTATCTCCGAATAACTTACAGATTAAAATATAAAAGTTTGAAGTCATCCATTAACTCTACCCAGAGACAACAATTTAACGTTTGGTGATATTCCAAAACAAAAACAGATCTAAGGAATGCAGGGGCAAAGGAGGAAGAGCCGCTATGCCTTCTCAGAGTTGGTGACAGGCTGTTGACCGGTCGTGAGCTAGCGTGCGGACGTGAGTGACTAGCAAAAGGCAGCAAAGCTGATGAGCCCAGGGATACAAGTGTGTCCCCAGCTTTCCACATGCTTCACGGCGGGGGGGGGTCATGTTTAAACTGGAGAACAAGCAGGACTAGATGACACCATGAAGAGAAGCTCAGGGGCTCTCTGCTGCTACTTCTAAAGGCCAGGGTGCCTTTTAAATATCCATCTTTGGGGGCAGGGATGACAGGCAGCTCATCCAACTTAAGAGCCATGGGGGGGCATTCCAATCTCAGAAAGACAAAGTCTATATTTTCTCTCATACGTGGAACCTAGATTTAAAAGTTTATATTTGTATATGTGTACTGATGGGTTAAGGAACCAGAAAGAGGGTCAGGAGAGCAGGAAAGGGTTAGGGAGGGTGGGTAAATTAGTGACATGAAAGCAGGAAAAGGAGTCCAGGGAGGAAGAAAACCAGTAGGGCCAGCAGGTGGGGAAGGTTCTGAGGGAGGGAATGAGTTAGAACAAAGCATACTGACTATGGAAATGCCATAGTGAAACCTGATGGGGGAAGTCCTTCTGTGTATATATAAATAAAGCACTGTTGGCCAATAGGGAAGCAAGATAGGTGGGACTAGGAGTTGAAGAGGATTGTGAGGAAGAGAGGCACAGTGAGTCACGATGTAGGACGCGGGAGAAGTAGCATTCCCGGACTCTTCCTCCCGTAAGAGTAGACCACACGGAAATACTTAGATTAGCAATTACGGGTTAAATACTTCAGTCAGAGCTAGCCAGCAAGAAACCAAGCAAACGGACAACAGCTTATAATTAATATAGCGCCCTGTGTGCTATTTGGGGGCTGAGACAGCAGCGGGACCCAAGTGGCTAACTGGGGTAGGTCCTAGGCAGATGACAGGAAGACTACACGTTACAGAAACCCATTCCTCTGTAGACAAAATAGACTTCTCTAGGGAAAACTCATTTTGAATTATCTCCCAGTATTGGTTAAGTAGCCATCGAAACCATGATTCACAATGATATATACACAGCATCATAAGAATGTAGCATGTTTTATTTAACCACCAGGGATAGCTGGGCAATCTCAGGTTTTCTTCTCCTTGGATTTGCTATTGGGAAGTTACTCATCAATGAGTCAGTTCTTGGTTCAAATTCCTCACAATTCACTTGGGAGCAACTCCAAGTTATGAAACTACTGAACCAGAGAGGATCAACATCTTTAGAGCTATCAATAAATACTGCCAAACTTCTGGTCAGAGAGATTAAACTTATCCCTCCACAATCAGGGTTAGGAGTAACCCTTCACTGAATCCTTGTCAACACCAGGTACAATGTAATCATGATTTTAACATACTCAATTATTTTTAATTTCATATTCTCTGTGAGTTAGCATTTTCTTGAATCTATTGCATTGTTCCAATTTTTGTTGATTATCTATTCTGTGGATTTTTCAAAAGTCCTTATATTTCATGAATACACTAATGTCTACTACGTTTGTCTTTTATACTTGCTAGTATATGGTTTTTCTCGGGAGAGAGGACATACAGAATATATTTGAATATTTATATATCTCTACCATTTTATCAGTATAATTTCTCTCTTCACTTACACACAGAAGACGACCTTTGCACAGAGAGCAGTTACATATTTACCTAAGCATTTTTTTTGTAGGGGATGAGGCCTAAATAAAGTAACACAATTTTACAGAAGGTGTACTGAGGCTGTGTTCCACACTGCAGCAATTCAAAGGCATCTTTCCAACCATCAGTGTTTTGCTGATGTCTTTAAATTTTGTACTAAGGACAAAGATGGAAATGTACCCAGATATGTAGCTGTTCTTTTGACCTGGTTTTCTTCTGCCCCCTGGTGGACTCTGCACAAAGTGTAACTCTATAAAATAACATAGGAACTAGATGGTGTTTGTGCCTGTGTGGAGAGGAGAAAGCCTGCAGCTGCCCTAGACCATCAACAGCATTCCCTCTCATAAGCTCCTCCTCAAACTACACTTGTCCCAGCTGCTCTCTGGTCTATGCCTCCCTGAAAAGCAGTCATTTCTTTTGAGTCACCCAGGAAAACACCACGCTCCTCCAGCTGCTGTGTAGTCCCCTTAAATATGTCACACTTCATTTGCTAAGAATTTACTTTGTGTATAGTATGAAGTAATATTAATCTCCTCATTCAGATATTTTTAGTACCTATCAGTGGTTAGAGACACTACTATATTCAAAACTGCCATACAATTGTGTATTTCACTGCTTTAATTTTTTAATGTATATCATTTTAATTATAACTTCTAATATGTCTTATTAAATAGTGCATGTTATTCCTCATTATTAGTTTTTAATTAGTTCGTTTACTCCTGAAGTTATTAGTTATTTTCAATGTCTTTAGATTAACTTAGATGGGATTGTGCTTCAGAATCACACAACCATGGTGCTGGAGCAAAGTGCCCAACAGGCAGCTGGACTGGAAGCTTGGTTCTTTCACTACTAACCTACAGTTGCCTATTACTTCTAAAATTCCATGATCCCCCCCCCGAGACAGAGTTTCTCTGTGGCTTTGGAGGGTGTCCTGGAACTAACTCTTATAGACCAGGCTGGTCTCGAACTCACAGAGATCCACCTACCTCTGCCTCCCTAATGCTGGGATTAAAGGCATGCGCCACCACTGCCTGGCTCTAAAATTCCATGTTTCAGAATACCCGTATTTCTGGATATGGTGGTACACACCTTGAATGCCAGCACTCAGGAGGCAGAGGCAGAGGCAGAGGCAGAGGCAGAGGCAGAGGCAGAGGCAGAGGCAGAGGCAGAGGCAGAGGCAGAGGCAGAGGCAGAGGCAGAGGCAGAGGCAGAGGCAGAGGCAGAGGCGGATCTCTGAGTTCAAGACCAAACTGGTCTAGAGAGTGAGTTCCAGGTCAGCCAGGGCCACACAGAGAAACCTTGTCTCAACACACACACACACACACACACACACACACACACACACACACACACACACAGGGCTGGAGAGATGGCTCAGCAGTTGAGTAGTGCCTCTTCCAGAGGCCCAGGGTTCAGTTCCCAGCACCCATTTGGCAGCTTACAACTGCCTTTTCCAGGGGGTTCAACATCCCCAACATCCTCACACAGACATATGCAGGAAAAATTTTCATGCACTTGAAATCCAAAAATCCCCTATATCAACACCTAATATCTTTTTCATGCAAGAAGTCCAACATAAACACACAAATGAAAAAGTTACTGTACCTTTATATGCTTTACTCCACAGCTGACCATTCGATTTGGCTGATATGGATCCCAGGAAATATCAAAAATCTGTCAAGAAATGAAATGCTCTTCAGAGATCAGTGAACGACAAAGATTCCAATGTGCTGCTCACGTGGGCGGTGCAGATGGAGGTGGAGGCCTCGCTCTCAGAAGCCGTGCTGGCGCCCCGCCCCCTCATGATTTCTCATCTTCAGCCCAAGGAGACAAGTCATTAACCTTAGTCACTGAGTGCAACTGGTGTCATATATTAGATTTTTCCATTTGTAGAAAATAACTTCTGACAATTAGGGCAATTTTTAAAATCAAATTTTCTGGAACTCTTCATAATACTGACAAAAATCTTTGGAGATAGCTTTTCAATAAAATCTGGAAGAATTACAAAACAGTACATTTTACTTCATAAAGTGTTTAATGGCTAGCTATAATTCAATGTGGGCAACTGCCCAGTTGTAACAGAAGGTGAGAAAGAAGTCATTTTGCTGGTGGCACTACATTACCCCAGTCCTTGAAACCATTCACTGTACTCCCAAAGACTCTTATATTTTCAATTCTCAAAAAAACTAAAAACATACCAGCTGGCACCATTTTTCATTTCCTATGAAGAACTCTGAGACAGTTTGCATGGAGTTCTATTTCCATTTAGAAGACAGAAAATACCCTCTGCCAACCTTAAAGCCCACTACCTATCATGAGTGTTGAAAATATGCACATGCAAGGTCTGTACAAGGTATGGGCATAGAATGCAGTTCCTGGCATTTAACAAATTGCAGAATGTTCTGATGCAGGTGGCCTATGGGTTGCATTCTGTAAAGTGCCAATAGAAAGGAATGGGAAGCAAGTGCATTGTATTAAATTCCCAGATAATAAAACATTATGTTAGGGGAAGAAGTTATCTATCACTCACATAAAGCAACAGAATAAACATACACACAATGAAAAATGAAAGAAAGAAAAAGAAAGAGCGAGAAGGAGGGAGGGATGGAGGGAGGGAGGAAGGGAAGGAAGGACGGAAGGAAGGAAGGGAAGGATTAATTGCCAGAGCCAACAGCTCGACCAGAGATAGAGCACAGGTTGTCAGTTCCCTATCATTCAGGAGGAAGACATAACAGACTACAGAGAGAGGTCTGAAGGGAAAGGATTCGGTCTGTGTCCATTTTAGCATCGGAGTTCATCCAGGTTTCAATATCTTTAGCCTTTATCTCATCTTCTCTAAAACTGGCAACACAGGCTTAGTTTTGTTATGAAGTCAATTAAAATAATGTGGATAAAATAATTTTGAAGACTATAAAGCATAGTAAATACATGCTAAAAAGTATTTTAGCCACTAAAATAATCTCTTGATGTTAACCAAAAGCAACCAATTATTCGGGCTGGTACCAAGGCATCAGTAATAAACAATAAACTATGTGATACAGATTAAGGGGTCTGGGTGAACAGTATATTCTGTCAGAACATTCTAGATCACATTGAAATTGAGTCCTAAGAATTAGGATATGTTTTTGAAGACTGTCTTTTTCACCTCCAGCTCCCTACAGAAATATCATGTTAGAGTGAAGGACAGTCATCCCCAACCCCTGGCCCCTGGCATAGGCAAAGACTCATCTCCCTGCCTAGTGATATACAGAATTCCAGGCTTCTGGCCTGAGTTCTCCAAAGTTGTAACAGTGCTATGGTAAAAGATGGGGATATACTGAGAATTTCTCCCTCCTGTTTTGGGTAAAACTGTAAATAAATTCCTTTTGGCATACATACATATACGTATACACACATCTCTCTATCTATCTCTACTATCTGTCTGTTATCTATCATCTGTCTATCTATCTATCTATCTATCTGTCTGTCTGTCTATCTGTCTATCATCTATCTATCTACACACACATAGCCACTCTCTTTTAATTTTCATTTGGCAAGTATTTATGCTGCGTCTTCAGTAACAAATTCTCACTAAATTAACAATCTGCTCCTAACTATTAAACGTGACAGAGCAAAGGGGCACAGTCACTGAAATCAGACAAGCACACCACGTGGTATTCAGCAATGCTAAGAGAGAAAGTTAGACAAATTAACCTTGGTGTGTGCCTTCTTTAGGCATGGGTCGCTGCCTGTGATTGGCTATAGGTTACAAAAGTATGCTCTAAAATTAAGCTTTTGATTTGTTTACCTTCCAAAGTACAATTACTTCTATATTCAGGGACTCAAGGTCTATAGTCTATATTCAGGGACAGAAGGCAGACTTAGGCAAATTTAGTTTAATAGAAATTCCACAACCTGACAAAACACTTTACACATAAGCCAGGGTAATGTTATTTCTAAGTAGATAACACCAATGAAGAATATTTTCAACTTTAATCTTCTATTTTCCCCCAAGGTAACAAGTTAACAAGTATTACATACAACATATTAATTTAGGTTAGACCAGAAACAGAAGTAGTTAATTACAGAATATCTTGGATGAAATATTGCCCTTTCAGCAGATTCAAATGTGGCATCACAATTTTGTATACTAGGTCTCAGGTCCACCTTTTGTGATCACTGGGAACTCATGTACCAATCCAACTCACCTCGCCTTTCAGGATCCAGGTGATGGGATCACAGCGTGAGCAATAGAACGCAACATCTAGAACTGGTAACCTAAGCATTGCATTGAGCACAATTGCAGCTGAGGCACAAAGTGACCTCCAAAGGCTCACATGTTGAGCACCTCTGGCTCATGGGTGCTAACTTCACCTACTGAACAGGCCGCTGGAGCGGAGTTCACCAGAGGATAGAGCCTGGTTGGAGGAAGTGGGCCAGTGTGCATAGGGTACCTGTGAAGGGCGCATGACTTCCAGGCTTCTTGTCCTGTCTGTTTCCTGATGAGATGAGAGGCTTTTCTCTGTCAAGCCCTTCTGCCAAAAATGTACTGCTTCACCAATGCCCCAGAAGGCTGCAGCTGAGCAAGCCAGGACTGACATCACTGAAAGTATGAGGTAAAGTAAATCCTTCCCCTTTTATTTTCTTAGGTGTTTGTCACAGCAACAGTAGCATGCCTACTTAATTCCTTATCTTGTCAGCTAGTAATTCTGATCACACTAAATTCAGTATGAAAGACAAACAGACCATAGTTTACATGTAGCATTAAGGAATCCCAGATAGAATACAAACTCTTATAATAATATTTTTGTGAATATTTTATAATAACCATTTCCATGAGTCAATGGATATACCTAAGCAACCATAATTTCAAATTCTTTTCTATTTTGAGTTTATAAGAAGCCAAATGCCAGCACTGAAAATCTGCTTTGCTTATGAAAAGCAATAACAACAGTTAGCCACTAATCATAAGGAAATCACGTTTGTACATTGAACATGTAGGAGGAAAATCAAAATATGGCAGGTTTACTTTCAAAGATATAAAATGGCAATTATTTCACAGTTCTGAAATTTGCATTGTTGGGTACCACAAAGGTCTTACCCGGTCAGAATGGCCAGTAGCTGAGGCCAGAAGTTTTCCCTTCCTCCAGTCCCAAATGCAGACTGTGTTTTTGGCATCCAATCCCACAGAGGCTAAACGCTTAAGAAAGAAAGAAAGAAAGAATAATTTAATACCTGAAACAATGGGAAGATTTCCTACTATTAATACTACTTTCAACAAATAGTTACTGATTATTTATGAGGGACTACACATTGAACCAAAACTCATCCTAATCCCAAACTAAAGATATTACTATAGATGGCTTCCAATAGATTACACAGACATTTCACTCCTACAAGATTACACCCATTTGTTTCATTTCACCATAACATCCTGAAAAACCTCAATACACCCTCCCTTTTTGAGACTCAGAAGGTCGCCTCAGTGGAAAATTCCCCAAGGTCCCTTCCCCTATGCAGGGAACAAGGTCTGATTAAAAGAACATCTGATCCAGAGTGCTAATACAGGACACCAGCAGGCTGTAGAGATAAGTGTGAATCTGACCTTGTGGTTTCTCCAGGGAGGATGAGTTATTCCCGTGTTCTAACAATATCCCTATTGCTTGCCCAGATCTGCACCTGCAATAGCTCCACTTTTTACAATACCCCTATTACTTTGCTTGCCAAAAATATGTATATAAAAAGAAAGCTGTCCTAGGGCCTGGCGCGTTCAGTTAGCCAAGCTGCTGAATCGCCCACAGACACCTATGTAAACAATAAACCTCTTGTGGTTTGCATCCAGCTGTCTGGTCATTGGGCTCGGGACATCACCGGGGTATTCAGCCTGAAGCCTGATTACCTCAGGTCTTTCAATTCAAATGTGCAGTTTGTGAAGTTGCTGACAAGTCAGACACAGCTTGAAGGCAGGAATTAATAATCATGAAAGTTTTTACTATAAAAGATTGGAATGATGACTCATACCTGTAATCTTTGCTCCAATAAGGCAGGGGATTTATAATTCCACAGCCAGCCTGGGATACTTAGTGAGTTGCAGGCCAGGGTAGACTACAGTGTGAAATCTTGTCTTTAAAAAGAAAATTGACACAGGATCTCACTCCAGGTCAGACCGACTTAGAACTCACTCTACAGATCAGGCTGGCCTCAGATTCATGGTGATCCTCCTGCCTTAGCCTTGTGAATGCTGAGATTACAGAAATGAGACATCATATATGACATATTTGACTCCTTAATATTTTTTTACTGTCAGATTTAGGCATCTATGAATTCCACAGTCTCGTTATCACACTGTACAAGTTATAGAGTCTGACAAAGACATTGTGTTAGTTTTTTTTTTTCTGAGACAGGGTTTCTCTGTATTGTTTTGGAAGCTGTCGGTCCAGCCCGGCCTCGAACTCACAGTGATCCGCCTGCCTCTGCCTCCCGAGTGCTGCGATTAAAGGTGTGCGCCACCACCGCCCGGCAAGCATTATGTTAGCTTTAATTGCCCCTATAAGCTTATAGGGAGTGGTACTATTAGGAGGGTGGCCGTGCTGAAGTAGCTATGACCTTGTTGGAGGAAGTGTGTCACTATGGGGGTGGACTTTGAGGTCTGCTATGCTCAAGCTATGCCTCGTTCAGTTTACTTCCTGTTGCCTGTGGAAAAAGATGTAGAACTCCCGGTTACCTCTCCAGAACCATGTCTGCTTGCACAGTGCATATTCTGCCATGATGATGGACTAAACTTCTGAACTGCAAGCCACTACCACAATTAAATGTTTTCCTTTATAAGAGTTGCCTTTACAAGAGTTTACAGTAATAGAAACCCTAACTAAGACACACATACAGAAAAAAAGCCAATAAAAGAGTCTGATTTTGTTCTTACTTTTACTAACATTTAAAGTGACTAAACATATATAATCTTAAAAAAGGAATATGTTATATGTTACTGCACTCCTCTAAATCTTTTGAGTACATATCAGTTTCTTGTCCTCAAAGTCAAAGTCAACTTTTAATTATAAGCCAAATTAAAAGTATCATATACAGGTATTTGTAACACCATAATCAGGGGTTCCTGTAGAATACCTCTTAGGAGACAGAATTGTATGTTACAGGTCTTGGCTCAGAGAAAGTAAACTAGGCTTATTTGTTTCCTAATTAGCTAAACAGAAGACATTGGAAATTTAAAATAATTTTTATTAGTCTTTGAGAATTTTGTACATGTATTTTGATTATATATCCACTTTTACCTTCTCCATCTGCCCAAATTTGTGTCCTTTGAATTTTTCCACCAATCAAGACTAATTTTTGCTGCCTCAAATTCTTGGATAAGTGGTCATACACTGGAATATGGTTGACTTACCAGGGGCTACACTCTTTTTTCCCAATAGCTAACAACCTCCAACCACGTAGAAAGGGGTAGAATTTAATGCTCCATTCCCCTCTCCACATTAGGACTTTTGTCTGGTTTAGGCTTGCATAAGCCTTGTGTATGCTGTTATAACTGCTGTGAGCTCGAATGTATAGCTGTCCTGCTGTGTCCAGAGGACACAGTTCCCTTGTAGTCTTCTACAGTGTCTGGCTCTTAAAATCTTTCTGTCCCCTCTTCCACAATGATGCTTAAGCCTGGGTTGTATTTAGGGCTGAGCAGGTTAGAGATGAGATACTAGAGATGTATTAATGTATGGGTATAATAATAAAATACCTTGGAAAAATTAATTAGCCTTCATAAATCTTAGTTTTCTCATTTGTAAAATGAGTACAAAACTACTTTTTACTTTGTCAAACTGTATGAGTTAAGTGAAATAACAAATCAAATGACTTTGAATATGGTAATATGGAAGTATATGGGCTCACACATTCAGAGTGCACGTGTTACTCATCTTGTTGTGATGCTATACCTGACTAAAGCAACTCAAGGAAGAGAGGGTTTGTTTGGGCTCACAGTTGCTGGGGACACGGTTCATCATGGCTGGGAAGGAGGAGGCAGGACAGGTAGCAGAAGGTCACAATGCATTCAAAGTCAGGAAGCAGAGAGCATGGATGCTCATTCACAGCTCTCTCTTCTATTCAGTCCAGGGCACCAGCCCATGGGATTGTGACCTGCAGTTAAGGAGAGCCAACCTGGTCTAGTCTCTCTAAGGCACACCCAGAGGCCCATCTCCCAGCTGATTCACCCAAACCATTTTTAAATCACCATCATCTTCTCCCCCCAGGCTAGTGACTTCCTATACAAAAGTATTCAGTTCAACATCAAAAATACCCACCAGTCTTTTACAGTCCCAACACTGTTAAAAGGTATAAGGGCCGAGTTTCCCAGAGAATCGAGTAATCTTTTAACAGGGAACCCCGGACAACTTTTTTCTTGCATACTTCTCACATCCAGGGGAAGGAAGGTAGCAGAGCAAGGAAAGACTAAAACCCAGCAGGGCAAAGACCAATCTGGAACCCCATGTCTGACTTCAGAGGCTCCACCCTCTAGCTTGTGACCTGAAGCACACAAATTTGCTCTTCTGGGCTGGCTCCACTTTGTGCTTGAAGTTGTCCTCAATAGGTGTCCCATAGTTGTGACTTCTCCAGTATCCTGGGGTATCCATGGTAACTGATGCCTCAGCTTTACACAGTGACCTTTTCAGGGCCTTCTTACAGGAATGCACGACATGATCCTGAATTCAGTGTTTCTCTGAGGAAAACTTCATGGCTGGCTGAAACTTACATTTTTTCATGCTTGACAAAACACTGCTAAAACCTGTGCAGACTTGAGATGGGGCCTGGCTTTCTTGGACCACAGTTATAGCAGTCTCTGTATTCTAACTTTGGGAAAACACTAGGCATTTTCTTTCAAGGAACAGGGAACCCATTCAGAAGCCTTCAAGGTGAAAGCTCTACTGTTTCAAATGAATTTGCATTTTCACAGTTGGAGCCTTTAATAGTGGAGTCTTGCCCACAGGTAGGGCACATTCTCATTGTGCCTGCAGAGCAGGGGTCCTTGCTAACAGTCTCGGCCTTTCTCAGCACACATCTCGGCAGCAGCTTTTGAACTTGCACATCAAACTGCACATTCTGTTTTCCATTTTTTATTATTTTTTATTTTTAAATTTAAATTTAAAATAGAAACAAGGTTGCTTCACATGTCAATTCCAGGTCCCTCTCCCTTCCCCTCCCCTCCTCCCACACCCTCCCAGCAACCCCTCCAATATCCCCTCCTTTCCCCAGGGAGAGTAAGGCCCACCATGGGGATGTCCATAGTCTGTCATATCATCCAGGGCAGGGCCTAGACCCGCCTCCAAGAGTTCAGGGTGAGAGTGCATCTCACATTGTTGGATGGGAGTCCAAAGTCCATTTGTATACTCGGGATAAATACTGATCTACTGCCCAAGGCTCAATAGATTACCTAGGCCTCCTCTCTGACACCCACATTCAGGGGGTCTTGATCTCCAGCCATCTCTTGATTCCCAGCCATCAGTCTGGGATTCAACAGCTAACCCTTGTCAGGCCAGCTGTTTCTGGGGGTTAAACCAGCCCAGTCTTAATGCCTTTGCTCATCAGTCCTCCCTCTCTGTCACTGGCTTTCTTGAATTCAGCTCAGTGCTTAGCCTTGGGATTCTGCCTCTGCTTCCATCAGCCATTAAATGAAGTTTCTATTTCCCAGACTCTCTGGCCATGGGATTGTAGGCTGGCACTCCCCAGATCTATGTCTAAAATCCATATATGAGAGAGTACATGCCGTATTTCTCTTTTTTTGTGACTGGGTTACCTCGCTCAGGATGGTTTCTTCTAGTGACATCCATTTGCCTGCAGGTTTCAAGATTCCATTGTTTTTTTTTTCCGCTGAGTAGTACTCCACTGTGTAAATGTATCACATTTTTTTTAATCCACTCTTTGGTTGAGGGGCATCTAGGTTGCTTCCAAATTCTGGCTATTACTAATAATGCTGCTATGAACATAGTGGAACAGACATCCTTGTTGTATGAATGGGCATCTTTTGGATATATGCCTAAGAGTGGAGTTGCTGGCTCTTGTGGTAGGTTTATTCCCATTTTTCTAAGGAATCTCCATAATGATTTCCAAAGTGGCTGAACAAGTTGGCACTCCCACCAGCAGTGGAGTGCTGTTCCCCTTTCACCACAACCTATCCAGCATAAATTGTCGTTGGTGTTTTTG